TTAAAGCCAGATTCAGAAGAGGACCTGGAACAAAGGATTTCACTGCTGATGTTAGGTGAGTCTTGGCGGAAAACAGAAAACAGCAGAGAGATGTTTTCTTGTGTTTTATTGACTACAGATATACTAAATTATTACAAATTATAGACAATACCATGAAAATGTGATTTCTAGAATACTTCAGTGTTTATGCAGAACCCACAGGCATACTAGGTGGCTTGAAATGAAGAAAGGTGCAGTTCAGGGTGTATGATTTCACAGCACTCATTCAATCTGTATACTGAGCAACTCATCCGTGAGGTTGAACTATATGAAGTACACAGTAGATGACACACCTTGCTTGCTGAAAACAAAAAGGTCTTAAAGCGCTTGCAAATGGAAACCAAAGAGATTACTCCTCAATGTGAAACAAAACCCTCTCAATGTGGACCAGTAAGTAACATCATGATGAATGGAGAAGATTAAAATTGTTAAGGATTTTATTTGGATTCAAAATCAATGCCCATGGAAGTAGCAAGCAAGAAATTAAACATTTTATTGCATTGAGCAAATCTGCTCCAAAAGACCTTTTTAAAGTATTAAGAAGCAAAGATGTGTCTGGGGTCTTAAAGGCTTGAAGGTAATCAAGCGGCCATCAAGCTCAGAAGCAACAAAGCCCACATGGAAGAAGCACACCAGCCTATGCAACCACGAGGTGTCGAAGGGATCAGGTGTAAGGCATCATCAGAACAAAAAATCTTACCATAGTGAATGATGGGGGGAGTGAGGAGTGGAGATCCAAAGCCCATTAGTAGGCCACTGGAGATCCCCTTGCAGAGGGGTCTCAGGGAGGAGATGAGCCAGTCACGGTGCGATGTAACAATGATGAGAAATACAACCTTCCTCTAGTTCCTAAATGTTTCCTCCCCACTCCCACTACCATGACTCGAATTCTATCTTGCAAGACTGGCTAGACCAGAGGAGGTACACTGGTACAGATAGGAACTGAAAATACAGGGAATCCAGGACGGATGAGCCCTATAGGACCAGTGGTGTGAGTGGCAAAACAGGGAGGGTAAAGGGAGAATGGGTAGGGAAGAGGGAACCGATTACATGGAACTGTGTGTGACCTCCTCCCTGGGGGACAGACAACCAAAAAGTGGATGAAGGGAGACGTCGGACAGGGCAAGATATGACAAAATACCCATTTATAAACTATCAAGGGCTCATGCGGGAGGGGGGAGCGGGGAGGGAGGGGAAAAATGAGGACCTAATGTCGGGGGTTTAAATGGAGAGAAAATGTTTTGAGAAACGATGTACAAATGCGCTTTACACAATTGATGTGTGTATGGATTGGGATAACAGTTGTATGAGCCCCTAATAAAATGTTAAAAAAAAAGAAAGGCAATAAAAAAAAAAAAAAAAAGAAGCAAAGATGTAATTTTAAGGAGCAATATGGGCTTGACCCAAGCAATGATTGTCAACCACCTCATCTGCATGCGAAAGCTGCACAGTGAATCAGGAAGACCAAATAATTGATGCCTCTGAACTGAACAGTAAATATACCCGGGGCTTCCAGAAGTACAAACACATGTGTCTTGATAGAAGTCAGTCAGACTGCTTCTTAGAAGTCAGTATGAGGATTCATCTCACATACTTTGGATATGAGGGCATGGTTAGTTAACACCTGGAGCAGGGGCCATCATGTTGACAGAGAGCCAGAGAAACAGGCAGGCTCTAACAAGACGGACCGACAAAATGGGCGCCAACTGTGATGACAGCACAGGACTGGGCAGTGGTTCGTCCCGCTGGTCAGTCACCATGACTGGAAGTGACTTGATGGCACCTAACAACCACCACAACTACAGCAGGAAACCCTTCGGCTTAGACCGAAAGGGACAGAGAAAGAACAAGAGGAAAGAATGCCATCTGGCTTTGGAATCCCACTGGCAGAAAGCAGGTCACAGGCACTCTGTCTGTTGTCCTCTAAGGAGAGGGTCATCTGTGGAGCAGCTTTGATAGCAGCACCACTGGAGGTAGCATGACCTTCTTGGTTCACATGTAGGGCCACAGCTTCCGGCATCAGCTGCAGGCACAGAAGGTAAGGAATTCCATCTTGGCCATGGCCCACTGGTTCCACATGAGTTCTGCCCAGGTCACACCTGCAGGTGTCTGGTGACCTCAGACAAGTTACAGTACTTAACTTGAATGTCGTCTGCCCACCTAAAAATGTTGCGAGTAAGTACTTTCAAGGCAAGCTGTAGCGGGACTGCTCACCAGCATCATGGCAGATGAAGAAGTCCTTCAGCCTGCATACGCGCCGCCTGCTCACATGCCGAGCGAGCCAGGCTGTGGCAGGGCCTCAGGGTTGCCGGGGCCATGTGAAACCCAGCTCTCCTTCCAAGTTCCCCTTCCAACCTGGGCTTCCACAGATCTCATCATAAACTCATTTCAAACATTTCCAGTATTCTATTTCAGACCAGATTTTAGGGTTTTGTGAAGGCCAATTAATAAGTTAATAATACTAAACTGATCATTTGTTTCAAACTAGCTTTTTCTCTCACACACACACACAAATTTTTTATCTCATATCAACTGAATCTTTGGTTGTAATACTGAATTTGAACAAGAGGGAGCTTCAAGTTTGTGGAAGGTAATGCAATTTTCCCACAGGATTTCTGAAGCCCCTTTATACTTCTAAAACCTTCCCAAATTGAAGGCAAGTGCCAGCAGGCTTGGACCCTGTCTCCAGTGCAGACTCAGATGCCTCAAGTGTGTGCTGAGTGAATGGCCAATGAACGGGGAGCCTCCAGTTGGAGGGAGGAAACTGACTAGCACAAACCATTGGTTCCCGCAGAGGTACTGAGGCAGGGCTAATGGGAGTGCAAGGTGGCTTTCCAGATGCATGTCTGCCCTTCCTGCAAGAGGACAAAAAGGTGGACAGAGTAAGCACCAAGGGCCTACTGGAGTGCAGTCACACTGCCTTCCAAGGGACGTCATAGCATGGTGCAAGGCGGTTAAGACAGGCAGGGCAATGTTTGTCAAACCCCTAACCCCAGTGATCTTACCACCTACCTGGTCTCTTTCGTAAAGGCCTTAAAGATTGCTTTTTAAAAATGAAAACAATGTTTTGCCACCCATAAAACTCAAATTTAAGCATCTGTGAATATAACTGTTAGCCTGCAGCCACGACCACTTGTGCATTGCTACCTCTGGCTGCTACAGTGCCTGCAGCAGAGCTAGCTGTCTGAGTCAGCAGCCTAGCAACCAGCAGAGCCTTAGGACAGTGGTTCTCGACCTTCCGAATGTCGTGACCCTTCCATACAGTTCATGTTGTGGTGAACCCCAACCATAACATTATTTTCATTGCTATTTCATAGCTGTCATTTTGCTACTGTTATGAACTGGGCGACCCCCGTGAAACGGTCGTTCAGTCCCCAAAGGCGTCGAGACCCATGGAACCGCTGCGGGGCCTAGCAAGTACTACGAGGCCGAGTCAACAGCCCAGCAACCAGCAGAACCTGTAGGACGATGGGGCCCAGGAGGCCATGGGGCCCCCTAGAGCCTGTCCCTATTTGTATCTGAAGCATGTTACCTAAAACATGAAAACAACGTTTATCTGTAACCATTACTACGAGACTTGCAATGATGGTCTGTCCCCTCCACAAAGGGCACTGGAAGTGGCTAACAGTGACCAGGCCCGAGGAAGGGGCTTACATAGTTCTTACGGACATTAACACCAGTGAGGCGTGAGGTGTGGCCTCCTTTCTGGTGACCAATCCCATGATTGAGAAGGGTGGTTCTGCTTTCCTAGCTCACGGGGCAGCTCTTTGGCAACAGAGCACATGCTAAGAATGTAGCCAGGAAGCTAGACACATGGTGCCAGCAGCCTTACCCATTGGTATTACCAGTGCACTGGTAATACTGCACTACACACCCCAAACCCTGGTGGCTTTCACCCCTAAGCATCTGTTGGTAGGGTGTGACTTCATTGCCGGTGGGCTTAGTGCCAATACGTCCCTTCATTCTGGGACCAGCAGCCACTCAGGATGTACGCCCCTGAGCTGAAACAAGTTCTCTTAGAGCAGCTCACTGCTCCTTCAGGCCAATTCATGACAGACCATGGCTACCCCCCCCATCAAAGTGGGAAGTGGAAAGGAAGGCAGAAGGCAAACCATTCTCACTTCCCCTTGAGCTGTGTGACAACCTTCCTCCAGGCTTACCCCGCCTACAAGCCCGCAGCAAGGGTCCAGTGCAGCTGGCCGGCATGTATTCCCAGCAGCACTGGTGCAGCACCGACTGGCCAATGAAAGATCCAGCGGGTGGGGGGCCCAATTCTGCAAGGGAACCAAAAACAATAGTACTCTCACCTCGAGGGCAGCTTTGGGTGCCATTAAACACAGCACAGCCATGTTAACGAGACATGCTGACAGACACACAGACTCAGACACCTACAAAGTGCAGCACAGTAGTACAGTGGGAGGAAACAGCAGAATGCTCTCCAGGCTGCCGCCCATGGGAGAGGTACTGGAAAAGTAGGCGTGTCCCCACAGTGCTACAAGTTGCCAGGAGTGAGAAGGTGGGCACCCAGGGGCAGGGGGCAGCAGAAAGTGGTCCATGAGGAGCAGGGCACTTGTGAGATGCTGGCTCGGCCAGAGGCAAGGTGGCTCTAAGTGCATTCGCAATCGTTTAAGATAGTCCCGTTGCCTGTACAGGGCCCGCTACACCCGAGATATGGGTCCCCACTCCCAAGCCAGACAGGAAGTGAATCAAGGACACTGGCTGGGGAGCATGGTCCAACAGCAGAGACCAGGCTCTGCAGAGAGCAGCACCCAGGCCGCTGTGTAAGGTGCAGCAGACCAGAAGGGGCGGCACTGGCAGGGCCTTTGCACACACACCGCCCCACCAGTCACACACACACACACACACACCCCTTTGCGTGCTTGCACACACCCCGCCCCACCAGAGTCCCCAGCGAGGAGCCCCTGCCTCCCTCTGCTGATGCCCACTGAAGAGGCCAGGTGTTTCATGGACGCTTTACTTCAAAACAAACCACAGGCACAGATGTTTCTGACAATGAAGGACACATCTTGCCCCCATGGGCTCAGTCCTGGAGTTTGTGCTCACACCTCTTCTCCAGATCGGCTATCTCCTTCAGGACCAGGGCCACGCCATATCTCAGCTCCTGGAACTTGGCCGTAGGGACTTCGAAGCAGTGCACCGCCCCGTCAGAGAGCTCCATCTGCATTAGGACACTAGGCCGCAGGGAGCGGGCCAGGGAGCTTGTGCAGATGGCAACGTCCACTCGCCACCGGAAATTGGCCATGTGGGGCAGCCAGGCACCCTGCTGCCTCGCTACAGAATCCAGGAGGGGCCGCTGGCTCCCGAACACAACGCTGGCCAGGTCCGCAGCCAGGTCCTGAGGGATGCAGAGCTCCTGGAGCTGGTTCTGGAAGGCCTCGGGTTTTAGGCTGGCTAGGGGCAGCCGCAGGGCCTGGTGAAGCAAGGTGTGTACCCCTGCCAGCAGAGTACTCAGCTGTCCCTCTGGTAGGCCCCTGCTGGCCCCAAGGTGCTGCACGGCCTCTCGGCAATCGTCCCCTTGTAGGCTGCTGACCACCAGCTTTAGTACCTTTCTGAAGGTGCTCCTGTCCAGCTCCCCCAGTAGCCGAGCCATGGCTGCCACCTCAGGGGGGAGCTGGGCCCCCAGGAAACTCACCCGGCCACTGTGGCCATCCCCAGGAAGATGCAGGTATGGGCCTGCGGCCCCCACAGTCGACATCACTGCGTCCTGCTCAGAGGGCAGGTCCCTCAGATGCTGGCTGTCTGGAGGGGGGAGGGAAGGAAAGAAGCCCAGTGACTCCATGTGCCTCTATAATGAGTGGCAACTAAAGAAAAGGTGGGCAGTCCCTACCTTCAGGGCACTGACAGTGTGAACCACCAATGAAAGGCACACATGGTAGGGTGGCTAGGGCAGGAGGGGGCATCACCCAGAGGAAGGGGCAGTAGAAGGATGAAGATGAGCTAACACAGGGTGGGTGGGGAAAAGTCTAGAGGAAGGGGCAGACCCGGTGGAAGATAAAAAAGGACCAAGGCCAAGGGGATGAGAGGCACAGTCTCCTCCACTATAGCCACCACCCACACCATGGCCATTTGATTACCCCATCCGGAATCTTTACAATAGTTCTCCACCCCTTGCAGAGGGGTCTCGGGGAGGAGATGAGCCAGTCACGGTGCGATGTAACAATGATGAGAAATACAACCTTCCTCTAGTTCCTAAAGGTTTCCTCCCCGCTCCCACTACCATGACTCGAATTCTATCTTGCAAGACTGGCTAGACCAGAGGAGGTACACTGGTACAGATAGGAACTGAAAATACAGGGAATCCAGGACGGATGAGCCCTATAGGACCAGTGGTGTGAGTGGCAAAACAGGGAGGGTAAAGGGAGAATGGGTAGGGAAGAGGGAACCGATTACATGGAACTGTGTGTGACCTCCTCCCTGGGGGACAGACAACCGAAAAGTGGATGAAGGGAGAAGTCAGACAGGGCAAGATATGACAAAATACCCATTTATAAACTATCAAGGGCTCATGCGGGAGGGGGGAGCGGGGAGGGAGGGGAAAAATGAGGACCTAATGTCGGGGGTTTAAATGGAGAGAAAATGTTTTGAGAAACGATGTACAAATGCGCTTTACACAATTGATGTGTGTATGGATTGGGATAACAGTTGTATGAGCCCCTAATAAAATGTTAAAAAAAATAGTTCTCCAAACTATCAATCTCGTTCCACCCATAAGGAAAGAGAGGCCCAAGCCCATACATGCTAAAGTCATCTAAACCCAAACCTGTCTACCCCCAAGTGCCACTTGCACTGGAGAACAAGTGACCTTCAAACGGACAACAGGGAAACCCAGCCCCGAGGAATCGGAATACTGCCAGCCGTCACCGGAGAGAGAGCCACCCAAGGCGCCCATCAGGCGCAGGGCCCTTATAACGCAGCGGGGTCAGAGAATAGTGGGCACCCTCACGGGCCTCACCTCGCCAGTCTGAGGGCATGGGGACAACCCTGCTGCTTGGACCCTGTTTCCCGAGAGCCCTGACGACGAACCAAAGTGCTAGGCAGCCTCGGGTGCCCCCGCGGCCAGTCACAGTCCGGGGCTCGACCCTGCGTCCCCGGACGGGTTTATTCGCCCCCATCACCGCGCGAAGCACCGGATCGAACCTCCTGGGTTCCCCGGACATGCCGACCGAGGGCCCCGGTCCGGTTCTCGGTCTCCCCCCGCCCCCACCAGGGAGGGCGACCCCACCGCACCCACGCTGCTCGGGGACCCTATTTCCGCGCTTCCGGGTACCTGACGGGCGCGGTCCGTGGGTGAAGGGCCAGAAAGCAGCTGGGGCGGAGTCGGAAGCGGAGCGCGGTCGCTGGGCCCGTCACAGTCACTTCCGGGGCCCTCTAGGAAGCCCGGAGGACCCCTCTCTCTGTGGTCCGCGGCGCTGCCCGGAACCACAGCGGGAGAGCTCGCGGGTCCTGGGCCGGCCCCGCCCCAGAATCGCCCGCTCCCCGCCAGGCCCCGCCCACACAGCTTGCACCTCCCACCCGGGCCCGCGTGCCCTCCAGGTCCCCTCCTCCCGCAGCA